ATCACAAAACGGCATATGTTGATTATGAGTGAATAGTAAAGTTTTCTCTGTGTGTTCTTCTTCTAGATCTCCACCACGACCCAGTCCAGGCAGCCTGCACTATTCTGATGAAGATGTCAGCATCAAATACAATGACTTGGTCCCAGCCGAGAGCAGCAGCCTGACCGAGAAGCCTTCAGAAGTGTCTGACTCACAGGTGATTCACCCCAACAAGGTCAATGATTTTCTTAAAATAGTTTTTCTGATGTTATCTGAAATCAAAATTGGCCCTGTGTACTTCCGTAAACTGTTATTATTATGAACTTATTGGCCATGATTCATCAGTGCATGTTATTGCAAATAATAATCTTTAATGAAAACCTAATAACTTGTTCTGCCTCTGAAACGGCTTTCTGCTTTTGACTGACAACAGAAATCCCTTATACTCATCAGCCCCTCCCCCCAACCGCCTGACTAAATTTTGGTATAAAATTCCCACTATTCCAAATTCAGTCAATCGCTAAAGGATACAATCAGATCCTGCCTTACATCTGTCTCAATGAATATCCCATTTCACTCATAAATGCACAGGGATTCACTTGACTGCACATGTTTGCTTTTGTCAGTAGGCTTGTGGATGTTATTTAACATTTTAAATGAAGTGTTTAACACACAAAACACTAAAGGCCACTCCCCACAGGAAATAAAAACCACCAAAGAGCTCTTTTAACATCTGAATTGTTTCTCTTAGACAGTAATGAGATTAAATGGAGAGCAAATGGAGATGTTTGCTTAAGTATTCTGCCTCTCAGGCTTCTCCTGAGAAAAATACTCTAGTAATCTTACCTGACTCCCCCTGAGACCATTCCTGTTACTGTAAACAGTTGTCTCAGTTGTCTAAATTTTAAAGGAATTAAAAAATATATTTGAGACAAAGTTGAAACATAGAAGCTGAGAACTCCATTAAGTCTCTTGAAAGAGCTATGAAAATCAGAAAATGTTCCTATGGGCCTCCAAAATGCCATTTCTTTTACATTGAACTATTTCTGCAAATACATGAAATGAATGATGATAAGAATGACCTTTCTTTTGCAAACCAATGCAGTTCATCTCATTCCAGGCCAGTGGTCTCATTTCTATGCATTGCTCCAGGAAATTGTTTAAATGAATTCTCATGACTGAAATTTCCCTGTCATAACAAATAGTGTAACTTTTTATGCAACGGGAAGTATGATGTAGGATACTAGAATCTCTCTCATGAATGTTCTTCATGTTTGCAGTATCTGTCTCCATAACTATGAAACTAGAGCTTAAAGTGAAATATATAAAAAATGTATTATCATTAGTAATATGCATTGCTAAGAACTTCATTTGGACAACTTTAAAGGCGATTTTCTCAATATTTAGATTTTTTTTTTTCAGATTCCAGATTTTTTCAAATAGTTGTATCTCGGCCAAATATTGTCCTACCCTAATAAACCATACATCAATGGAAATCTTATTTATTCAGCTTATGACTGGTTTTGTGGTCTAGGGTCACATATGTATATATGTTTAATTTTATTGATATTTTGGTAAGTGTGTTATTGTAAGTATCTTTTTGGCCACACTAATCGCGTCATGAAAATCTGATATCTTGACAGCCCTAATTTGATGTAAAAAAAAAAATCAATTTTGGGTGAACTAACTCTTTAACATCAGAGATTATATTGTTACTGATCACAAAACGGCATATGTTGATTATGAGTGAATAGTAAAGTTTTCTCTGTGTGTTCTTCTTCTAGATCTCCACCACGACCCAGTCCAGGCAGCCTGCACTATTCTGATGAAGATGTCAGCATCAAATACAATGACTTGGTCCCAGCCGAGAGCAGCAGCCTGACCGAGAAGCCTTCAGAAGTGTCTGACTCACAGGTGATTCACCCCAACAAGGTCAATGATTTTCTTAAAATAGTTGGAAGTATGATGTAGGATACTAGAATCTCTCTCATGAATGTTCTTCATGTTTGCAGTATCTGTCTCCATAACTATGAAACTAGAGCTTAAAGTGTCATGGGAATTTGTGAATCTTTTGGCCCAAGCTGTGAGAAAGTAGGGGGCACTCCTCTTGTTTGAGCATTTGTCTCTCCTCCCACAATCCCACTGGGAGATTTTTGCCTGTTTGTCAGGTACCGATACTGTCATAACATTACTCCGTCAAAGAAACCCTCCCACCATGCCACACTTTAGCATAATGTCACAGTAAACAAGCGATATGACTCTTAATTTAGACCTTCTCTGACACAAGATAGCTGGTGTACAAATACAATCCATGCAGAGGGTTTTTCAGAATCATTTGTCATCATTAAACATCCTGATTTTTGTTTTGTCATCTATGAGGCTCTGTAAATAAAATGTTTGCCCTTTCAGGAGACACTTATGTTTTCATTTCAAGATAATTTCTCCTCTGAGTTTCGGGTGAGGCTGTAGTTTGTGTTAGTAGTCTAGAAGCTTATAGGAATCTGTAGAGTATAGTCTGAACCCTCGCTCATATCCTTCTAATTAAAACAGTAGTTCTTCCGTAAATGATATTTAATGTTTCTTTTCTCACCTAATGTCATTGCAAACCTGAATGCTCTTATTTTTTGTGGATCTTATGAGGAGAATGTTTGAAAAGTCTTCATGCAGCTCTTTTCCATAAATAACAACAGTCCATAGTGAGCATCAAGCTCCAAAAAGAATGAAAAACAATCTCAAAAAGTCTAAAAAAAATAATTAAATAAAATATAAAACTATATTTTACTAATATACTTATACATACATATACAGCATACAACTTTTTAATGAGGGTAAGAGAATAATTTACCTCAAAACCTTCAATCTAAAAGGAATATGAAATAATGTCATTTTTAGGGCTGCCAAAAAAAATTGAATTTCGAATATTCGTCGAATTTAAAATAAAAATCCACATTCGAATGCAAAAACGTTGCATGAGATGCGATGACGATGTAAGTGTCATTGCGTTGTAATGTTTTTGTTAGCCTATCCAGTTGAACCCACTAGATGCGGCGCTGCTACGTTGTTCATTCAAAATATCGCAGGAAAAAAGAACATCAATGCGGAGATGATGTTGTTTACGTCACAACCGAAACCAAACCGTTCACACAGAACACATATTTATCACATTTTCTAGAGGGACGTCTATCACCATTGCACTCGAGACGTTGAGCGAGACGCACAAGAGAGCCGCATGTTTAGAAAGCCATGTAAAATGAATGTAAGTTTAACTTTTTAAAAACATGTCTTAAGACTTTATGGCAGTTTTCCCCCATCCTACTGCATCTCAAGTTTTTAAATGAAGAAAGTACTCTTTGTGATTGGTATTCGGGTCCTTTGTATTAAACTATACATACATGCATGATTCTGTTTTGTTTCTAATTGTTTAAGCAACTTTAATTATATAAGGTTTATAAACATTATTTTAAACATTATGCACTTTTTTCAAAGATAGTCGTGTTATTTTATTATGCTTTGAAGAAACGTGCATAATATTTTATTCGATGCGCCCTCTTGTGGCCTCAGGAGAGAAGCCAAAAGCTTTTCTCCCCCTAACTGAAATTCTGCCTTTTTTAAAATTTGAATATTGATAATATTTAAGTACACAATTCGAATTTAGTTTTTCAGCCATTTTGACAGCCCTAGTCATTTTGTCCATCTTCATATAGCTTTTTTTTCATGATTATATTAGTTTTTCTTTGTAATACCATTCAAATGTTCTTTTTTTCAAAAGAAATCTCTTATGCTCACCAAGGCTATATTTATTTAATCAAAAATACAGTAAAACCTGAAAGTATTGAAAATATATTGCAAATAAAAAAAAATTTTCTTTGTGAATATATTTTTTAAAATGTCATTTATTTCTGTGCTATTAAAAGCTGTATTTTCAGCATCATTACTCCAGTCTTCAGTGTCACATGGTCCTTCAGAAATCATTCTAACATTGTTGTTTCGCTGCTCAAGATATAAGGTTTATAAACATTATTTTAAACATTATGCACTTTTTTCAAAGATAGTCGTGTTATTTTATTATGCTTTGAAGAAACGTGCATAATATTTTATTCGATGCGCCCTCTTGTGGCCTCAGGAGAGAAGCCAAAAGCTTTTCTCCCCCTAACTGAAATTCTGCCTTTTTTAAAATTTGAATATTGATAATATTTAAGTACACAATTCGAATTTAGTTTTTCAGCCATTTTGACAGCCCTAGTCATTTTGTCCATCTTCATATAGCTTTTTTTTCATGATTATATTAGTTTTTCTTTGTAATACCATTCAAATGTTCTTTTTTTCAAAAGAAATCTCTTATGCTCACCAAGGCTATATTTATTTAATCAAAAATACAGTAAAACCTGAAAGTATTGAAAATATATTGCAAATAAAAAAAAAAATTCTTTGTGAATATATTTTTTAAAATGTCATTTATTTCTGTGCTATTAAAAGCTGTATTTTCAGCATCATTACTCCAGTCTTCAGTGTCACATGGTCCTTCAGAAATCATTCTAACATTGTTGTTTCGCTGCTCAAGAAACATTTCTTCTTGTTATCAATGATGAAAAATTGTTACTTAAAATTTTTGTGGAAATTTTTTGTGAATAGAAAGTTAAAAAAATATATATTTCGGAATATAAAAGTCTTTACTGTCACTTTTGATCAGTTTAATGCTTCCTTGCTGAATAAAATAATAATAAAAAAAATCTTCTTTTTTTCAAAAGAAATCTCTTATGCTCACCAAGGCTATATTTATTTAATCAAAAATACAGTAAAACCTGAAAGTATTGAAAATATATTGCAAATAAAAAAAAAAATTCTTTGTGAATATATTTTTTAAAATGTCATTTATTTCTGTGCTATTAAAAGCTGTATTTTCAGCATCATTACTCCAGTCTTCAGTGTCACATGGTCCTTCAGAAATCATTCTAACATTGTTGTTTCGCTGCTCAAGAAACATTTCTTCTTGTTATCAATGATGAAAAATTGTTACTTAAAATTTTTGTGGAAATTTTTTGTGAATAGAAAGTTAAAAAAATATATATTTCGGAATATAAAAGTCTTTACTGTCACTTTTGATCAGTTTAATGCTTCCTTGCTGAATAAAATAATAATAAAAAAAATCTAAGTTTTTATCAAAGTGGAAAAGTGCTACAATGCACATTTCCAAAATAGACTGGAGAAATACAAGCTACTACAGAAAGTGAAGGTGTAACAGATACTTTCTTCATTTTTCAATTACAGTGCAGTGATAGTGAATACGAATTGGATCCAAGCCGGCAGAAGACCCACTCCTTTGTCAACCACTACATCAGTGACCCCACCTACTATAATTCCTGGCGCCGGCAGCAGAAGGGCGTCTCTCGGCCTCCGGCGTATGGCTATGCCCAGCCCGACACGGTGGCGGAACAAGAGTCCCGACCCCACCCACCCCCGCTGCCACCGTTACCACCTCTGCTACCCCACAGCAATCCATCCCCGCAGCCCCAGGGCCAGGGCACCCTGTTCAGGCCCAAGGGCAGCCGGACTCCCACCCCGTCACTGCTGACCTCTGACAACCACAGCCAGCACACCCTGTACAGGCCCCCTAGCAGCCTGGGCACCTCCGCCCAGGTCCCGGCCACGGGATTCTCCTCATTTGTTTGATACAAGACTCTCATTCCAGTGACAACACGCCTGGGAGGGACTCCTGCAGTATTATTGGTCTGTAATTACTTATTTATATTTTTTTCCCGCTGCACCTTGTTGGACATCAAGAGCTGCTTTTGGATTTCATTTTGCCAGGTGTGCAGGTGTACTGTGGGTTTTTATGTGCGTGCAAGAGCATCGAAACGCAGACAATCATGAAGGGAATCGTTTGTTGATTGTACATTTTAAAATACATTAACTTCATCCTTCACTGAAAAAGACATTTTGTGTCCAAAATGTTTTTAAAAAACTACAAATATGACGTGACCGCATATACAGTAGGGTCCAAAAGTTTTTGAGACCATCGGGAGTTTTCGGTTTTCTTTTCAATTTTTCAAGTTTCATGTAAGTTTTAGTATTTTGAAATATTTAAGACAAAAGAAAAGACAAGGCTAACGGTCTCATACTGTTGGACCCCACTGTAAATGTTTAAACAAACTGCATTTCGCATAATGCTGCAGATTTCCAAAGCTCATCTCTTTCATTCTGTTCATGTGATATATTGCTCTGATGTCATTCACGCAGAAATCAATGACAAAAATATAGCAAAACTGTGATTTTAGTAGTGTCAGTCTCTTTAAACGGAAAAAGAGAGAGAATTTTCAACTCCTTAGAAAACAGACTTTCTCACACTTGAAATATGTAACCATAACCCGGGTTATATGTTTCACATTTTACATTATTCATAATTTACGTGTTAAAAATTAATCATAAAATTAATCATAAACCGACAGCACATTCCTAAATCCTGGGTTAATGTCACTATCAGTGTCACTGATTGGACAAAACGCAGCAACCTGTTTACATAATGTTTTTAGCATTGCGCATCCTCATATATTGCAGACTGCACTATCAAGTTTTTCTGAATGGACTTTGCAGACTATGAAGGTAAGAATAAAGCAATCTCTTCAATCCAATTCACTTGTTTTCTGTCACCATTAGACATTTTCCGCTGAAACGACTCTTATATAGCTCACAGTGTTTCCGTGAAAGCATTTGAATATGAGACATGCGATCAGGTTTTAGTTGCAAACATTCTAATGTAGCAACTTTACATGTTTGACACCGTAATGCAGATAATTAGGGTTTCATAATCACAAGTCAAAATCGTTGCTAACTCTGCTTCAAAATTACAACGTACCTTTATGTAGGTTTAAAAGGGGTGTTCAGAATATGATACCCAGGGTGACGCGCAGTGTAAAAAGCCATTTTGAGGAGGAAAAAGTATGGAATTTCTGTAGGATTCATGCAGGACCGTTTTTATTTCTTTTTTGCTTACTATTTGCTTATGTCCAGCCAAGGAGAGGCTGCAAAGGATAAGGCCTGTGTCATTATTTTCATCCTATTTTGATACATTTGGAATGGAAATTTGACTCATTATGTGACTAAATGCATTTTTTTCTATATGATTTATCGTCAGTATTGGGTCAATGTTTTTGTACAGTTTGTTGAGGATCACCACCCCTTAGTTGGTGCTACCATCATCAAACTTCAGTTTTCAAACCCATGGACAAAAAAGAAAGGCTTATGTCACTTTTCATGGAAAATAACACCCTATTCCCAAGATATAATCAAACAATGCAAACTATATTGATGTATTAATCATGCATTTGCATTAAGCAAAGTGTAACAAATGTGAATTTGTGCCAATATCAGTCTCAGAGAGTTTTTCTGCTTCTTAAACCAACTGGACACTGAGAAGCAGAAAGGGAAACGTAATTTTATAGCGATATGGAATTTCAATACAAGGCCACTTGCATTTATGTTAGCAAATGATGTCTCATCTATAATGTCTTCGAGGATATAATAATGCGTTTGGAAAAAGAAAATAATGAGTATCTTAAAGGTATAGTTTACCCAAATATTGTGTCATTTACCCTCAAGTTGTTCCAATCCTGCGTGAGTTTCTTTCTTCTGTTGAACACAAACAAAAATATTTTGAAGAATTTTGGTAACCAAACAGTTGACGGTAGCCATTGACTTCCATAGTATTTTTCCATACTATGGAAGTCAGTAGCTACCGTCAACTGTTTGTTTACCAACATTCTTCAAAATATCTTCTTTTGGGTTCAACACACACACACACAAATGAGTAAATGATGACAGAATTTGCAGTTTTGGGTGAACTATCCCTTTAATAATACTCACGTGATTAAGAATGATCACTCAAAATGTCTGTGCACATGCAAATGTGTACGCAGCAGTGTAAAGATACTGTGTGGGTCAATATCTTCCATAGGAAGTGCACATGAAATCTTCATCATTAGCATACGAGCTTCACACTGTTCGTTGATTTTGTACAGATGAGTCAAAAACATCATCGAGTCAGTCTCACGTTCGGGATCCGTTGCTCAGAGACTGATAAAAATGTCTGCTCTTTCAAATGACATTGTATGTATTTCTCTGAATATATTGTAGAATGTGTTTTTACGGTTCACATTTTGACATAGTGTACACATACAGTATGCTTCCGTGTATGTCAGCAGATATGCTTAATTTATTTATAATCGATTGGTTTTATACTCTAACTTAAGAAGAACAGCAGCAGTCTTATGTGGAAACTATTTTAAAGGACTTGAAAACTACGCTGATCATGATTCACAATATCTCCTGTCTTGTTCTCTGTGAGGTGACTATCACTGTACAAAACTTGATGAATTATATTGGACCAAGGCATGGTTCATATCTAAAATAAATTACTCTATTTTTCAGTGTTTTTGTTGATGTCTTGCTTTGGCTTTTGAAGGTTCAGAAAAATTACTTTATTTTTATTTTATTTTTTCATTTTCTTGAGGAAAAATGTACAGTAAATTTCGATTTACCGCATTTACCAAAGGCTTGTGGTCGGTAAAATGTTAAATATTTTTAAAAGTCTCTTATGCTTATTCAAAGCTGAATTTATTTGATAGAAAATACAGTAAAAACAATAATAGTGTCAAATACTATTACAATTTAAAATAACTGCTTTCTATTTGACTATATTTTCAAATGTAAAGTATTTTTGTGATGTAAAGCTGAATTTTCAGCATAATACTCCAGGCTTCAGTGTCACGTGATCCTTCAGAATTCATTATAATATGCTTTGCTGCTCAAGAAACATTTCTTATCATTCTCAATATTTAAAACAGTTGTGTTGCTAAATAGTTTTGTCGAAACCTTAAAATTTTCAGGATTCTTAGATGAACAGAAAGTTTAAAGGAAATGCATTTATTTAAAATAGAAATATTTTGTAACAATGTAATAGTACAAGGAATATAGTATATATAGGATATAAGAAATATATATTTTTAAACACAATAATGTAATTTTACTGTGAAATACTGTAGAAATTGTTTTGTAGAAGTAAAACGTATTCAATATAACCACATTAGATTACATAAATTGCTTATTTTATTCTAATTTGTTGAGATAGTGAATTGGTGGGATTTTGTTAAATGTGAGCCAAAATCATCACAATTAAAAGAACCAAAGACTTAAACTACTTCAGTCTGTGTGCATTGGATTTATTTAATACACGAGTTTCACAATTTGAGTTGAATTACTGAAATAAATGAACTTTTCCACGACATTCTAATTTATTGAGATGCACCTGTATATTCATATTTTACTTATTTTATTCATATAAATATATAACTTTTTTGAATATTCATTCTGATTGTACAGTCATGTACATTATGGGGTTTGGTGTTCTATTTGCATAATTGAGTTGATGTTTACTACATTATTTTAGTGTCTTGTGTTTGTGTGGCAATACTGTGCCCGGTCTAAACATGTTTTTTTAACCATAGTTCTTGGAAAGTCCAGGTTTTCAGCAAATATAATATAATATAATATAATATAATAAACAGACAGACACAGCAGCCAGTTTTACAGTAAATTTGGGCTATTATAGTGCTAGCCAATAACTAGGGTATATATTTTAGTCTCATTTAATGCATGACTCTACTTGTTTTGACATTGAAAAGAAAAGAAAGAAAAAAATCGTTTCAGCAGCTCTTGCCTCATTCCCCTGCAGCTACAGTGGAGATAGATTTGGGCCAGATGAGAATGGGTAAGTAAGCGCTGAATCATTCAACATCCGAAGAAACTGAGCTTAGATGTGGGAGAGTTCGCCTGGAGATAATCTCTTTATTCCAGGCCAGGAAAGCATCGATCTGGACATCAGGGGGTAAAAGCAGAGATGTTACAAGAGAGATGAGAAATAATAACCCAGTAAGGAGGAGAGGCCAAGCTTATAGTGTGGCATACGCAGACAAAACTCATCAATAATCATACCTACAAACATTACAAGTATGCTTTATCAGTATATGAAAATAAATCAACGCATATATAATGTTAAGGACAGTAACTGCATAATGCAAGATGCAAGATTGTGACTATCAGACTTTCTCAATGTACTGTCTGTCACATTGTTTATCCCATTCTGACCATGAAAGACTTCTAGTAATGTTCTGTTCCATTCATGTCATTTAACATGTGAATGGCTGCATCTTTACTATGTAACTGCCACTGATGGTTTAGGTTGAAAAACAAAAACACAGTGATATATGCCCATACTGTTTGCCTGATGAGAGCAGATAGTGATCTCACTGTTCAAACATGCCTTTCTTCTGTACACACAATGCCAAAGGCCTTGAACTGCAAGAGGATACTCCTCTTTAAGCGCATGTATGAGGTGCAAATTACACATAGTGAGCTTTTGCAAATTGATTTATGTGAATATACAAACAACAGTTAAACCCTGCGGGCACTGACTAGACCTTCAATGGCACAATGACTAACAATTGTTCCCCGCAAGATCCCTATCAAGTTAACTGCATTTCAAAGAGACATCCAAAGACAAAGGCAGGGCCATTGGGAGGGCAGGTACAGTAACACCCTTTTTGCACGCAATACGGACTGTTTAAGGATTAATTGTTAAAAAATTAATTCAGCAGCACAGAAATTAATTTGAACAGGATGTTCATCTTTAATAGCTTTCCTAAAGCTCAGACCGATCTGAAACCATTTACAAAATAAAAGCAATAATCCAGTTTAATTATGGGGTAAATCGGATGTAAACATGACTAGGTCACATTATATTCAAAAGAAAAAAGTAATACTGTAAATATATAAAACATTGTAGAATTATATATATATACAGTGTTGGGGGTAATA